CTTTGTAACTCGATCCCTGGAACCTCACAATTGACACCTGTTGTAAGGAAGACAAGGCGACGTGGCCACTTTTGCGCTAGACGAGCGCATCCACTAAGAATTGCGACACATCGGTTGGAGAAGTACTTAATTCGAAAAGAAGCGCAACGTTGATGGCAGTGATACATCGTTATTTTTTTGTTTCACAGATAAAGTCTTGTCTCTGTCACTCTTCTGTATCTGTGACGTACTCAGAGGTTGAAGATATGTCGTGACATGTAGTACATATTGGAATCTAGCGACTGTCGGCCCCAAATCCCTCTGAAATCCTCTTGGTTGCATGATAACTTCAGTTGAAGACAATGCTACATCTGATCTGATAAGATAAAGTAGGATCACTTAAATTGCGTTCTTTTAAAGCTCGACTTCATTTCCAGATGTGATTTGGTTTAGATTATGAATAATTATTCTACGAATCTCCGCTAGCATGCACAGCACAAAGATATAAACGATCCCTAAGAGGGAGAGACCCAGTGTGTCCTAAAACGCATAATTCATTGACAACATTTGGCATTAGGCATTCGAGATAATAATTTGTTGAACTTGATAAATTGGACAATAAGTAATTTTTTGTCATGTCTATTCAAAGTATACTTTATTGTTTGTTCAGTGCTGCCGTAGATTTTTCTGTATTCCTACTTCGTGTTACTTCTGAAAAGTTCAATTCCTGAATATGTCCATTATTATATTTCGTAGTCTCGGAATTCTGTGAAATATTTTTTAAAAAATTGATTTAATTTATTAATAAAGAGAAACTAATAGGAAACGGAAGGTTTGCGTATGTAATAATATCCTTGGTTTGCTTTCATGAACCTTATTTGTTTATTTGCTATATTTCCTTCCTTTGTGGACGGAGGAAGGACATTATTCACAAAACTTGGTATTTTCATAAAAAGTAAGGTTTTGCAAGTAATTTCATCATTAGTTATGTATGTAAATGCAATATCATGAGGAGAAAACATAGGTGAATATTATTTCTGAGCAATGTAATCCCTAAATAGAGACGAATGGGATTCATAGTAACCAAACCTATCATTATAAATTGAATAACAACACTAAATATTACAATTTTCAGAATGTGATTTATGCTGCAATTACACACTACAAAAGAACATGCGAGACATGGTCATATTTTCTACAGAAATTTTATTTTTGTGCGCGATTGGTAGTTTGAAATGAAATATACCAGTAACAAAGGTTACCTGGAATTTTTTCCCAGTGGAGAACATTTTACTTAAAAAAGGAGTCCATTTTAATGAAAATGAGGACATTTTACATTTTTATCCTCCATGATGAACAGGGAATTCTCTCAACAATTCGAAACCATTAATAATCTTTAAATAGCATATTGGACTTAGTGTCGTTAAAAATGAAAGCTTCCAATTGGATAACTTTTCTCCCTCACACTCAACTTCATTATCCACTACACAAGGAGCATAAATATGTTTTATATCAAAATAAGCCTAATGATCTATTATGCAGACCGTGTGTTTGAGTAAAAATGTAGATATTCCAGACAAGAACCTTTAATGAATTAAACTACTTTAAAATTATGCCAGTATTATTTTTAATTCAAAAAGGAGTACATTCCATGTAAATTTAAAAAAAGGAGTGAGGTCAGGAGAACAATGATAAATAAAAAGGACAAGTCCTACAAAAGGAGGACAGATGGCGACCCTGACAATACTCTCGTTTACAACGCACGATACCGGCAGGGTTGCATTCAGACTTTGAAGATAATCAAACTGTTGTTAATCCAATTTCGTACAAAATATCACTTGTATTCTTTCTCCAAAACGTAATTTAAATTCAGTAATCTCATTACAATTACCCAAATGGATATCTGATAGTTCTAATAATATTTTTCAAGAATTTATCAAAACGTCAGCATTGGAATCGTTATTGGGTATTCAGCCAATTAAATATACGAATTAGAATATAAAAAAACTACGTTAACTCTTGCTTGGTTACACATCATAACAAGTTATGATGTGCAGTTTTATCATTAGAGTTGCTAATTAATTGCTGTCAGCTGTTTTCACTATTCAGTTTCTTCGCGATACTCTCGCACTTGCGACCGGGATTCACTCATCAAGTCAGCAACCTTAGTGGCGCTTCAAGATTTCTTTTGTAGCGTCAACATAAATGAATTTTTTAGCAAGCAAGCCATGATTTTAATTGGCACACTTCTAACGTGCTTCTTCTGCTATGTCGAAGGTAATTTCTTTGTTGTTTTTTTTTTTTTACTATTTTGTCTCCCTAAAATTTCCGGATTTCAATGGAACCTTCACTTTGAATAAAAATATCCTCTTTCAGTTTCGTCATCTTTGTACTTTTGTGTTTCGTATGCATCTCATATTTATTTTTGGTCACATATTTGGTAGCTTTTTCAGTGGTGATCTTACCCGAAAAACGTTTGCTACAAATTGAACTTTCGTGTTAAAACACCGCAAACTGTCGGTTAGAAGAGACATATACACTTTTGAGAAACATAATGAAGAAGATTTGCGGCGAATCTAATAGTTAAATATGAGTGTCTCGTCGTGATTCAATCACATACATTATTTTTATAATTTTGAGTTTCTCACATGCAGCCAATGTTATATGGTAAATCAAATTATGGAGAGCTACCGAATTGCACTTTCCATTGAAATATATTGTGACAAACCAGCGCACTTTACTGGCTGCAGGATGAATTTATTAAGTTTTATTCATTACTCTTCGAGTTTTATAGTGTCCGATGTTACATATTTTTAATTAATTTGCGACAGTCCTTCTCAACGGGGCTCGTGGACTCAGAAATGTGCTTACCACAGTTGAATATATTCATTTCACAGGGCAGGAGGTGTAACAATGACCACATGTCATTGGCCATTCCAAAAAAGTCATTGACCATGACTATCATGTGAAGTTGATGTATATGGAAGAATGAAATTGAAAGACAATTGATGTCGATGAGAAGTTTGGTTTACTAGTAAACTGTTATAGATGACATTCCAAATAAAAAATACATTTAATATTTCTCTTCTTTTAGGATCACTTCTTCTCGAAAACGGCTCTTCACATTAAGATTTTTTGTGTCCACTGAAATACTGAAATACGGTCTGCCACACATGTATCGCATCCACTGTCTATGTCTGCATCACGCCCTCACACAGGAAGCGGCCAGACGCGCGAGAGCTTCCGTGCCAAACCTGCTTCAAATTAGCCGAAAACTACTCATTTTTGGAAATTGTACGTTATCTTTCTTAAAAAGCTGATATTTAAAACTGGTTACGTTTAAAGCAAAAATCTCTATCTTCAATTTTGTGATTTTGCATTGTAAAACATTTTGCAATTTTCGAAAATACAGTTAGTACCGCGAAAATGAAATTAGCAATTTATTTTTTATATCCTTTTACCTATATTAGCTCAATCTTTTAAGCAAAAAATTGGAGCCGTTTTCGACAAAATAATTCTGTTTAAAAAATCAAGATTGCTTAAAAGGAAGTAAATTACATCATGTAGGAACAATATTTATCTTTTTCATTAGCAGGGCTCTGCAATGAATTTTCAGTAAAAAATTCCCTGCCACCGGCTCACAATTACAATACTTTTATCTTTTTACGAAGTTAAGACGACAAAGTAAAAATATTTGTGGGGTACTGAACTGAAATTGCCTCCCCCCCCCCATTGAAACTCTTTTTTGATCTGCCACAGCGTTTCGCTAACACACTGTTCCATTCACATAGATTTGGGGTGAAAGAAAGTGGTCGGAACGATTATGCCATCACTCCCCATTTATTCTCTAACAATATGTGTATATTAGCTATATAACTGCCCACGACGATTTACATTCATTAGATTTTAACAATGCTTCTGAATTTGGGTAATGAAGGGTTGAGTAGTTCTTTCGTTGCATGTTGATACTACCAACATGCGATTCTCAGGTAGCCTATCACATGAGTTTTAGTTTGATAGGTTTACACTACTAGTACTACTTGTACTACCTTTACGACTTAGATCGAAGCTATAATAGTGAGAGGTTGTGAGTGACCAACGGGATTCTTTGGTGACACGGAATCAGTCTGCAAGTACACTGCATTTCTGACGACCGGCTGGCGAGATAAGGTGCATCTGCTGGACCGCACGCGATGTAGTGCTCTCGAAATGGATAGCCCAATTCTATCAACGAGTTTTTGTTAAATTTTCATTGTGCTTTTTCATTTCAAGGATATGTGTATGAGCTGTTCTGGCTTCTAAGAATTCCATCATTTTAGGGGTCTCTTCTGCCTTGAGGCCTGTACTTAAAAACCTGCTTTAGAATGCGATTTTCTTTCACACATGTAACCATTTCTGTTTGTACCATTGTACCTTGTTATTGATTGCTTTAACGTTTAATTCTTTTCGAATTTCCTAATTTCTGAGTTTATCTAGCCAGGTACATTTTTACAGATCTCAAGAATTTCATTTCAGCAGACTGTAATAGTAAGGAGGAAGTAACGCCTGTTTATCTCTCTCCTTCAGAGTCCAGCATTCATTTTCCAACAAGATAGACGGGACAGTTATTACTTAATATATCCTCATTAGAGTATCTCTACGCGTTTTATCTCTAAGAGTTAGCCAAATGTGTCCGCATATATTCTGGTAATTGTGAACTTCATTTACATCCATTTCTGTGAAGAACAAGTTATAACCATATCGGTAATTCATCTTTACTTTCTTGGATTATAACTTGATCATTAGCAAATAAGTGTGTATTTAAATACACTCCATTTTTAAGCTTAATTCCTAGGCTGAATTTTTTCTTCCATTTTCGAATGACATCATCCAAGTATATGTTAAACAATGTTGGGGAAAGTGTGCATCCTTGGCAATCTCTTTGGTTTGATTTCTTTCTTTTGAATATTTTTCCACTAGTTCTAAAATAACAGAGGTATTCTGCTACAAAGATTTACTGTTATTGACGAAGTGGTGTGAGTAGCTTCTTCTTTCCATGATTTCCATAAAGTAGAGCGTTTGAATTTAACGAAAGCCTTTCCATAATCAACGAAAGCCAAATGAGTCGCTAGATTAAATGCCCTACGCTTTTCTATTAGTTGTCAGATGGTAAGAATGATATGTGTATAAGAGCGTCCTTTTCTAAAATCATTTTGTAATTAAAATTTCAGAGAAGTTAACAAGCTTATTATTTAAAGTTTTTGCATATATTTTATAGCATGTGGGTAATAAACTAATACCTCTATAATTGCCACAGTAGCTTCTTTTCCCTTTTTAAATAATGAAATTACTTTCGCTTTTTGCCATTCTTCAGGGACCCTGCATTGCTTACAACATTAACTCAATAGATGGAGGATTCTTAGTATTAACAGCATTTTCATTGATTTATCCGAAAACAAACAGATTTTCTTCGTTGCTACGTACACCATAAAAACTATTTTCTGAACAAGAATAACTGCCGAGAAACTGATGATCTATAACGAAGCGGTTTTAGCAAAATTACAAAAGAAACTTCTGTTTAACAGAGAAAAGGAATGTTTTTCATACACGTAGTTGGGGTCTGTTAAGGAGGTTCTTGATGTGAAGGAACAATAAGGTGAGAAAGCGATCAGCTCCTTACGGAGCTTAAGTGGAAGGCATCATGTTAAAAAAATTAACATCATTTTGCCCCTGAGATTCGATAAACCATTTCAATATTTTTAATATTCACAGGTTTTAGAAATTATAAAGCAGAGCTTCGTCGTCTTGACTTACCTTTCAGGCATTTGCCACCCTCGCAAACAAAAGAGTGTGGGCAGGGATCAGAATTTACGTCACAGTTTTCATTTTCACCTGTAAAAAGGAAGTGATAAGTTTAGAATATATTATAAGAACTAGGATAAAAAACAACATTGCTTCACAAAATAGTAATTTATGTAATGGCGCGAAGCAGGAGATTCGAGTCGACAAAGAGACGAGTGCGGGAATAACCTCGCGCCAGTTTTGCGAGCGCTTTTTTTTAACACGCCGAGAGCGAAACGCAATGCGTCAAGTAAATCAATATATATTAAATGTCAAATAACGAGAAATACCTCACTTGTACAAAAGTAAATAGATTCTAGTCAGTTGTCGTAACACTATTTTTCATAAATATTACACCAAAGACGTCAAGACGAAAGACATTGCAAATCCTTAGCAGATGTTTTCGTACTCTGTAAAAATTTAAGCTGTTTCGCCTAATACGGAAAAACAAGCGGCATGAAAAAAACACCTTTCGCCGCACAGCGTGTTAAAAATTATTACTTTTCCTCACTTATTTCGCAAGAATATAGTCTTGTAATCGTGAGCCGGAAAACGAAAAATTTTTGGCAGAAAACTCATATCACCGAGCTCCGGTAACGAACTAGTGGTGCTACAACATCGCATACTTCCTCCCATTTTCTAAATATATAATTTCCGAAAAATGCAAACAATTCAACGAAAATGAGACCTACCTATTCTTTTAAGCATTCTTTATATATCCACGGGGGAAAATTCAAAAACAAATTTTGAGCGGTGTTTGAGAAAATGCTTTAGCGTTATTTTCAAGAACAACAAGAAGCGAAAAATTCCATTTGTTCAAAAAAATTGTACATGTCCTTTTTTAAAAAGCAAATTTTTTAGAACATATAAAGTTTCAGGCAAAAATCTCCACCTTCAAATTTGTAGATTTGAATTTTTAAGTTTTTGCAATTTTCGAAATTACAGTGAGTTGACCGGAAATGAGATTAGCACTATATTTTTACCGTATTTTGATAGATACAAGGAGGGAATTTACTTGAATTCTTTTTTGTATTTTAATACACTTGCAAAGTTCTATAAAGCAAATATAGACATATAAACAAAAATGTTGAGTTGTGGCGTCATCTTTTCTGCAGTGATACGTCTGTATAGGTTACAGAATTCTATGACAAATCAATGATAATTATTTTGGAATACGAAATAATTGTCTTTGAATCGACATGAATTTGAACCATAATACAAAATTCAAAATTAACTGTTGTGAGATCAAAGGTAACATAGGGGCACACGCGTGACAAAACGCGCGTTTGAAGGAGGATTAAATCTATTTTAAATGTGGGTTCTTTTCTTTTCATTATTAATATAAGAGCTTAATTTCGTCCCATTATTTTTCACTGTTTACCCCTATTTTGAAATAAATGATAGTACGCATTAGTACAGTGTTTCTGTTTCACAACGTTCTCGGAATCACAGCTCAAATGTGCACGACTGGAATCGAATTCACTCGAAGAGCAAGTTCTTTTGACAGGTATAGTTTCGTGAATCTGCATTTTTTTCTTATGTCTGTAGTATGTTTTACGACCTGGTAATTTTTAGAACAATACTTTTCGGCTTTACAATTCCGATTCAGATTTACAATACCTGAGTGCTCAACAGTATATAAAGCTCAAGTGCAACTCGACCAAAACCTTAAGTTATCACGGTCATGAATTATAACACCAAAGCTCACTTAGAGCCAGCCAGCAAACTTGCACTAACCGACATATTCAACGCCTTCTTTTCCCTAGGGCAGACCAGTGGCGGTTCTGGGGGAAAGCGCATGGCCTTCTCAAAAGCCTACTTTTCGTTTGTTACCTTTTTTATGTGGCAAAATTTATTTACATATCTATTTATGATAGAATCGTGTAATTATTGAGACAAATAATATTGTATAGTATCATATATACAATACAATAACACGTATGTTTATTATCTAACAAAATCTAAATTCCCCTCCCAGAATAAGGCCGACTAGTGGCGCTCCTGGTGCAGGCGCAGTGCGAGGACAGTGGACAAGGGGCGTGCCGCTTACCGAGCGTTTTGACGCAGCCGGGGCAGATGTTGTAGACGGAGCGGTTCTCGATCTCGACTTCCCCCGCGGAGCAGGGGGCGGGGGAGATGGCGCACTTGCCCGAGGGCCTCCACGCGTCCCATTCCGCCGCCGCCGCCGCCGCCAGGCACAGCACCACCGCACTCAGCGCCGCGCGCCGCTCGGGGCCCCTCATCGCAACGCACTGGCCGGCGCCCGCGCCCGCGCCGTGAGATAGCGAGCAGATGGGCACTGATAATCGACGCGATAAGGTGAGCGAGACGCGCTTTATTTCGCGGAATCGCCCAAGCAGGAAATTTTCATTTTCATCCAATCGCCAATATCGTTTCCGCGGAACTTCCAACATACATCTGTACGCCACAGCAGCATCGCTGACTGGCAGTTTGGTTCAAGTTCAGGCAGTGGCAGGTTTTTGACACTAGCTACAATCCTAGGTCGAACTCAATCGATTTTTTGGAGGAGAATTCTTGCGGGCGATTCCTCTGAACGAAGGTTTTCCGTGGCTTCTCCAATCAATATCAGGAATTCGCCGGAAACGTTTCCTAACAAACGGGCCACGGACTGCGTCTTCATGCTGCCGTCTCTCCTGCTTTGTGTACTTGTTCTCTCCCCTTTCACACACGCTTCCACTTCGGTGCACTAGACCTGAGGGGAGATTGTCCCCGTTGGGGTGGTGTTTCTCTGGGGGAGATACCTGGAAGATGAAAATACTGTAAACCGGCTCGTAGGCCGCAGGAAGGTCTCACGTCCCAATGGGAGTGGAACTCCGCCACTTCCCGCGTTGTAACATGCACTATTCTCACGGGACTAATAGTCATACTAAGGATAGTTAACACGCCAGGAAACTAAATAAACACTAAACACTAAATAGACACTCACTCTGACATAAGGAGGCACGTAGTCTACCATGATTCAGTTCTGATTAACCAATTCGACATGAATACCTTCACAGTCGGTCGGTCTGGTCAGGTCAGATACAAATAAAGTGAAATAAAATATTGTGAACGACACTTGTCAGTTAAGATATTATTTATGCCGATCAGACGGGCTAAACAGAACAAATTAGTTCTTCGTTAGAGGTGCTGATCGTACCTCCCTGTAGGTTCCGGTGAGAAAATAAAATAAGTATTTACTATATGGGCGAGATATCTGGAGGAGTGAATTCCCATAAGAAAACCACGTAAAACCCAGTTACATTCTATATTAACATCTAATAATATTGTTTGAATTTTGTTTATTTAATAAAACATGATTAATATATAAACTTTGCATATACCTACATCACCAAGATACGATGCTCACGACCTCTGAAAACAGAACAATAATTTAATGGGCTACCGTAAATCAGTTTAGTTTTCTGCGCGAAAATTCACAGAAGAATCTGGAATCATGACTCAATCTTTTCACCAGTGCTCCCAGCAAAAACTCAAAACCTATCGAGATCAGCCCGCAGATGAATTTATATCTCAACTACCAATCAGAGCAGGCGAGAATTATTCTCTAGACTGCGGCTGAATTGGGTCTTCCTCTACCTAGTGTCGAAAATCTGCCACTGTCGGGACTCGATTCGATGGCTTCACATGCAGAGAAGCTACCGTATTAACAGTGGTTGTCCTGAGCCACCAAGTAAATCGTCTCCCATATTATTTCAGTAGATGAACGCATAAAATGACGCATGAAATTATGTAAGTAATGTTTCATTACATACTTTCTATTTCAGTCATTCGAAGGAGGTGCAACCTCGAGTCTGTTGGGGCAACAGCTGCCACTGCCACCAACACAGAAAACATCTCCTGTTCAACAGACCATTCAACATTTCCATTTAAGTCCTCTTTCACCAGAGCACTCACCAGTAGAGACTGCCTCACCTATAGAGAGAGCACTGCACTCACCCCAACCGGGAAAAACATCTGATGAAAGAAGGCCCGACAACGCTGCACATCAAGTCACGTCTGTGCTATAGTTAGTGATGCGAAGATAACGAATGTTTTTAATTTCGAAGATTGAGTATCTTTTAAATGCAGAGATTGGCGTATATTCCAGCAATAGTCTGATAATGTGTCCAATTACCAAAAATATTAAGTTATTATGATTATATCTTATGCATTACGTTCTTAAGGTCAGGTGAATAGCAGGATTTCAATTTTGATACGTATAAAAGGTTTCAATTATATTTTTCGAAACTAGTTTTCCTCTGTGATGTTTTGTCCCAGAAATTGTAAACTCTTTATTTCATTAGTCTTGATGAGTCAGTACTGAACAACGTGAAACATATTTTTAGGGTTTTTGATTTTTTTTCTCACTGTCTACTGCTTAGGCAGTACAGAGATAGTATTGTAATACTGTGGAAAACCAGTGAAATTTCAATAGGAAACCCCTGATTGGCGGGCATATATATATATATATATATATATATATATATATATAATAATATATATATATATATATATATATAATATATATATTCTAACACACCCACCTACCTCGTACAACTTACCACCTTCACGGTAGCCGCATGAACCGTAAGCAGGTTGTCAAGAATTTTGCTCGTGAAGCGAGCTTTAAAAATCTAGGGAGCAGGATCTTCAGGGTGCGAGAAAGGTTTGAACCCTTGACACAATAAAATCACACAGATTGCACACAAACGAGCGTATAATTTACCATAAACTTTTAGTGACATAAGTTTAATGACAAAAACAAGAATATAGAATCACACTTTTACAAAGAATAATCAAAACACAGATAGAAACCTTTACAAACATACTCATGTGAATAACACATAATTTACTTCAAGATTGATGCTCTGACGTAATTACCCTAAACTACACTGGGAATTCCCTTGGAAAATTAATTATATCTAAATTTGTGCTATCCTAATAACATTGCACATGAAAATCAAAAATCAATTTACAATCTCTCGCTTCAAGATATTACATGTAAAGAACAAAATGTGTACAAGTGCACTACTCTAATTTACAATTTAACCGTGTCTGAAACTAGCGAAATAATAAATGTTCCTAAGTAGAATGTTTTTAGGCAGGCAATAGCGCATCAAAACGTCTCCTACTATAATACTGTAATTTGTTACCACCCGTGTCATCAAATTCTTAACACTTTCCTATACTAGTTTTTCCCTGCCGACGTGAACTTGACCTATTTTCTGCGATTCCTAATTGTTACCGTCGTGGACTTCCTAAATTTGCCTTTGATGCTCGTGCGCTGGTCGCTGCAGTGGACGCCGTTCGGTCCCAACCTCTACGTTGTAAGGAGAGACGGGATTCGCCTCTGCCGTCTGTGTTGCCTTCTTGCGTCCTCCTCTTCCGTTCTTCTTCGTTTTCGATCCGTCTTCTTCCTCGTGCGCCCAAGTCCTCGGCCTCTTTCTTCTTCCTCGTCTGCTACCGGCGCCTCTGACTACGCCCACGGTGCGAAAATGTCCCTTGCACTTTACCGAATACTCGTGCAAGTTCCTCGCTCGTTGCTACTTTTACTTTTACAAGCCAGAACTTTTAATGTTTCCTTCACAACGGGTAACATTTACTTCCCGTGTTGTTAATTGAAGAAACACTACTTAATCTGAACTATCTCGCGGACGACTAACTAGAACGTCTGTTCGACGCGAATACTCCTACCTAGTAGTCGTTGCAGTGGCAAACAATATTTAATCTTTTAACGAGGAGTTTGTGACTCGGCGAACGGTGATCAAAGGAGCAGTTGCTTACTCGACGCGTGGTGACAGAAAAAAGAGCTCGCTTGCGGGTTCGCGTATTTTATGGCACGGCTCCTGGGGAAATTTGTGAAGGGGGGGGTTGTTTCCCTCTCTCAACCCTTCACGAAGAAAACATAGCTCGCAAGTTCGCATTCACGTTAGTACGGGCAACGGATACCGGGCCGCGCGTTTAAGTACCTCTGTCTTACGCGTCTGTTATCCTCGCTGCTTCCGTAGTGTTCACACATGAGACGGTGGTGTTATGGGTTGCACAATCCCATAACGCCGCAATATCTAATATATATATATATATATATATATATTATATTATATATATATATATATATAGTAAATTGCTTCCTCCAATACGTCCGGTAGTCAGAATCCATGTTTTGTGAGTCTTTGATGCCCAAAAATCAGTTGACGGCAAAACGCAACTGTCCCTCTGTGAACAGCGCTAGCGGCTAAATCCTTAGTAGGATTTTCATCAAAATTGATATTCCCTTATCTATCTGGCTGATGTCGCGGCCACTGTGGCATACAATTTTTTGACTAAATTTTGACCTCGATAGTGTAAAGAACGCTCAAAAGAATGATGCAGGTCTCATTTTTGTTGTAATTCCTGGTTTTCTGAAAATTGAAATAATTCAATGTTTTTCTGTGTCTTCCTAAAACTACAATTATGAAGATATTTTTCCTTAATTAAATGTGTTCATCAGAAAGATCTTCAAATAAAATCATGTTAAATTTTTCGAAAATATGAGAATATTTTGCGTGAGAGAATCATAAAATTTTAAACAATTATTTTCTGAAAAACGACAAATTTTTCTTTATGATTTTACGTATGTAGCAAAGAACAGTAATAAAAGCGGTGCTGATCCCATTTCGACGCACTCTGTATTTTCGAAAATTTCAAACAAATTGGAAATGGTATATTCGAATTGGAGGCGGCAATAGGATTGTGGTGATTAGTGATCTGTATAGTAGTATACAGATCACTGTTTGAGATAGTTGTCGGTCGAGGAGGCCCTGGCGACTACAGGTCTGGCTTTTGAAACTAAGTTCCTGTGTTATGGTCACGTGGTTCGTGACGCAAACTGGTGCTCTGGAGTAGCCCACCCATACCTTTCCACCATGATCGGTCGTGTTAATCGTACCACGGTGGAATGACCATGATGGTCTTTGCGCCATAAATCGTTCAATGTAGGTAACATTTTTACGAAAGGAAATACATTTAAGGAAGGTAATAAGCCTATATTTAACATAGAGCTAAAAAAAATATTACATCAGTAAGTTTTGATAGCTCATTATGGTATTCAGAAATTGTTAGCTCACTTTGATGTATTCAAGGCAAACTTGTGTGATTATTCTTTATTTTCTATAAGTGCTGCAAATAGTTACATTTTTCTTGTTTGTTTCATTTGTAAAAGTTATAAATGACTAATGTTCCTGGCACAGGTGCTGTGTTTGAATTGGACTACTTGAAGTTTAAACTTCAGTTTTTAGTACAGCAAAAGTTACAATATTGTGTTGACCTAATTATTTACAATAATGCTATAAAGAATGTGCTGTTGAGTTCCTCTAGTTTATTCAGAGCGTTCTTTTTTAACTTGCCGTCTTCCTTTTGTGTTGTGTAATTGTAAGGGTTCAGCTAGTGTACATAACGATGTGAGAAAAATATATCGAAATTATAGACACACTCCAATTTTTTTCATTTAGATATGATTAAATTTGAGATAAATAATTATTCATGTGAAGTACAAGATTTTTCAAATTTGAAGAACAATGTAATCAACTAATGAGATGTTAATTTTTTATTTTACTTTTCATCTTTTAAAAAAATTAGCCAATATTATTATAATAAGATCTTCAGGATCACTATAGATGTTATGGAGGATTTAAGTTCTAATAAGGCTAAATTGCATTGATTGTCTTGTCAAACTAAAATAATATTCTAACGGGCTTTTCAAAATTAAATTAGCTGAATACTATTTAACATCACTACTATACTACATGTGAAACAATTTTCTGCCCAGCAAGTAGATAAGTGTTTCTAAATTAATACTTGATGTTGATTTCAAAGAAATTATCAAATTTCCCTAATACAAAATGCAAGGTCCGCAAAAAGCTGTCTTAAGATAAATCTTTGTTATTAGGTCCAAGAAATGCTTTACTTCCTGGTTGACGTCTACATCATCTTTAAGAACCAAGTTAAGATTATGCCTGGCACAATGGAGAAAATAAGCAAAGGTAAGATTTTTGTAATTCTTTACTGAAGTTCTTCTGTTCTTCATCATTGGCAGCCCCTGACTTCAGCAGTGCACAGGTTGCACTAGCCCAGCTGTGTCCCTGACTCAAAGTGCATTATACAGACCTCTTCCAATTCAAGTCCTCCTAACGCTTATTTCTTTCTGTATTCAGAATTTAACTTGCATATAGCTTAAGGTAGGGATCCCAGAATTAAGAAAGCATGCACAGATTACACTTATCTCCAAAGCTCATCACACACAGTTTGTAACTGTTTTGGACTTATTAAAATTTAAAAAATAAAATAAGGATTTACCTCTGCTTAGCAGACCCACCTTCAGAATCACAGAAACTTGTATGTCAAGTGTTTACTGACTGTAACTGGATGTGAGTTTTGCCTTTCTATGATCAAGTGTGCCAGCATTATAGGTACTTAAGATCACCAGATTTCCCAAATTGCGCTAAATTGCATTGAGTAATTTTCAAAATGTATCTCTAAAAGATCACCTCTTTTCAACCCTCTTGGAAATCTTTACCTCATACTCTTATGATTTTGTTCTTTGTGTAAGGCAAGGGCTTAATATCAATAATTGTCTCTAAGGGACATTCAGGTATCACACATTTCTAAAAATGTTCAATAAACCAAAGTTTGTTAAAAATGTTTCAAATTTTTTCTGGAAACTTTTTCCTGAAATTTCAAGTTGAGAAATGAATTGCTTTTGAATTATGAAGCGTAACTTTCACTTTTATACTAGTCAAATCCATTACATTCTCACCAGCCTTATCCCTTCAAACCCATTAAAACATGTTTGCAAATTGGTATTGAAGATAACTTTGTAACTAATGCAATGTTGTTGCTTTTTATTCAAAAGATCATTTACCATTAATGAAGGACAACTACAAAGACATAGAAAAGTTTGGGTATAAAATGTTTTCATGTTGAAAGACATGCCATTTTTTAAACTATTAAAATATCCTTTGTCGTAATTGTGTCTACTTTCATAAATAAATATTGTTGATATACATTAAATAATAGTTACGTTTTTCTTATGAAACACAACTTAAAATATGTTATAACATACTGATGTTGATAAACACTGGGTTGGAAGGAGAGAAATTAAATATTAGAACTACTAGTACAAATTTTATTATGATATCATAATTTTATATGGCCACTAGACAGTTCTTTAGTTTTTTTCTGCTGTGTTGGTACACCATTAGTTAAATAGTAATACTTCAAATATTGATAAAAGAGGTGAACATAATTTCTCTGTATCCCTTAAATTAATTATTCATTTTGCCACAGACATAATATTGCTTAGGAAAGTCAGAAACCAGTTCCCCAGACATGATCTTTGAGGTGTCCTACAAGGAATGTAACTGGAGAGGGAGGTAGG